GAACTTACGGAAATCGAAGGATTTGCCTCGCTCTTCGGAAAACTTATATTCGCTGAAAAATTGCATTGAACAAAACAACAGTTCGGGAGAGAGGAATAAAAGTACAGCGCGCGCTGGAGAATCTTTTTCTTTTTCTTCTCAAATTGAGTGCTTTCAGCGTGCCATTTTGTGCCGTGCTGTAACAAAATTTCTTGTCGCAAAGTGCCCCGTACGTTAAGACCGCGGGGCGGGTGCCGGGACTGACTTTGTAGATAGTCACACACAAGGCACTTAGTCGTGTGGCAGCGAATGTGGAAAAAGAGCGGAGCGGAGCGAAAGGCGCAATTAACAAGTTTTTTAATATTTAGTTCCTCGTACGCTAACACAATCAATTTCCTTTTATAAATAAAAAAACACATAGCTCATTTTTCACGAGTGTGCCAGATGAAACGGAGTTTGAAATTAGCCGCGACGCGGCGGCGAGTCGCGAAAAGAGCAATATAAAGTAGGTACTTGTTATATGTGAGGTGCGCGACGAATCGTTAAAAATGAGAACAAGTATAAAAGCAGAATAATTTATAATATAAAATGTACCAGAGAGAAAGAGAGAGAGAGCGTTGAAAATATTACATATATCTTCTTTTGTGGTATAAAGAGAAGGAACAAACTTTATTTCGTTTCTATAGGGAACCATCAACGGCGCGCGCGTTTTTTTACTTTTTCATTCAAATACTCATTTAATCGACATAGCGCGATTTTATTTTATTTCATTTTTTATTTTATTAAGAAGATGGCTTTTGTGTAAAAATGTGCAATAGACATTTCCTCGTCAATGGTTTACAAGATGCTATTATCCCGCTTACCTCGTCTGGCATTACCATCGTCAAAGAAAATGTATATAGTATAATACGGCGCGCGCGCGCGCGGCGGTCTAGGGCTTTACGTAATATTACTACGATACTGTGTCAGGCGAAGAGGAGAGAAGAATCGGGGCAGAGGACGGAGGCGGAATATAGTGGGAAGCGACGTGGAAGTCACGTAGGCCGCTTTGGTCCGACGATGATGACGGAGACCGTTGCTGCTGTTGTAGCAGTCGTCGAGACATCGAATTATCGCGAAGTTTCCGACAGCGGCGGAATACGAATGAATGTGCTGAGAAGCGCGCGCGGGTAACATCGGCGGCGAATGGACATCCAGGCGGAAAATAGCTCGCGATCCCGGGAGAATGCCGGCTTCTCTTTATTCTACCTCGTGGAAACTCTATCGCTAATCGGCCAACGAGACTCTCTCACGAATATTAACTTCCGACCACCCCACCACCGCGATCGAGAGAGGAATCGCACGAAAGTGCAATACCGATACATATCGTCTAGCCCGCAATTTCTAATACTTTTTATTTTATCGCTAAACGTCGCGTCAGAGATGGTTTCTGGTAGAAAGTATGCAGTTTGCAGAGATCCCCGTCGCATTCTTTTCGAGAAAATCAATATTTCTTCTTTGCTTCGAGAATTTTCTTGCTTGAAAATTTTAATAAATTTTCTTAAAACAATAATAATTTATTAAATAAAAGAGAAGCAGAAATTGCAGAAAGTAGATACTTTCCAAGCGTATCCACTTTTACGTATAGTGAGTGACCTGGAGCCTCAGTAGATATTTCAAGAAATATTATCGCGCAAGGTTACTCCGCCAAACGAGGAGAAATTTTACGACAAAGAGACGACGCGTGTTGCCGCACATAAGCGTAACATAACGCGCGAAGCTACGTGGCAAGCGAGCATACGAGACTCAAAGCGCGGAGGAAACCGCCGCGTGGGTGCAACGATTGGATTAATTTATCGCTCGACGGTCGTCATCCAAGCCTCCTTCCGAAGAGATCCGAAAAGAGAATGCTTTCTATTGTCAAATATAGGACGCGAGATTGTAACACACAAAATAAAACAATAAAATATAAAAATAATAACAAAACAACAATAATAATATGTAACAATAAATCTATCGAGTAATCTACGGTGTAAGAGATGCGATAAATCATGCAATAAAATTCAAAAACAAACATTATGCGCTCGATAGAATAAAACGCAAAACGATGCGCGCGCGACTCGTATCTGATTTTGCATCGTGAAAATGATATGAGCGCGAGGATATACTCGGGGAATAACGTTCGCGCGTATGCTCTCGCGAAGTAATTTAATGGCATAATATCGTTCGAGAGAGTGTTTTTATACCGAGCCTTTTAAAAACACTAATTGTGATACACAAAAATCGAATAATTATCGCTCGAATTATTCGCGGAATTTTCTCGACGAAAATGTTCTTCTTGTCGCGAGACACGTGATCGCGCGCGCTTGTGAATTCAGCGCCGCGTCTCTTTTCGGTCGTTCACATTTCTCTCACAACGCTTCTTCGAAACGACATACCCTCGCGATCCCGCGCCGCGTGAGCGTGCGTGCGCAAGAAACACGCGTTATCGTAATCTGCTTTCCGTGCGTATCGTCTTCGTGCTCTTCTCTCTCTCTCTCTCTCTCTCTCTCAGGCACGTGTGGTGCCAGCATAACATAATCTTTGCCTCATCTTTCCGATCACGTTGAAGTCGGGAGAGAAAAAGAAAGAAAAAAAAAAAGGAATTTGAAAGAAATCGGACGCGTCCGCGTGTTATTCGACGCTCTCCCCGAGATTGAAAATTCCGTTTCGCTATTCCGTTCGTCACCACGCGCGTTCCGTCAATTCAAGATGCGGAAGAGGAATCTCCTGTAATTTACAAATTTCGGTGGACTCTCTCGACCGTCGAGATTACATCGATTACTTCGTGCGCACGCAAAATCGACGATTTTGCTTTTTTTTTTTTTTTTTTTTTTAAACAAATATATTAGAGTCGGTACGAGCCAATATGTCGGACGGTATACGCGTAAATGTATACTTTTGTTTTAAACGTGTAAATTAACACACACGGAGATTCGAATCAAATTCAATTCGAAAATTCGAAATACACGGGATGCTTGGTTTTCATCTCACACATATGTAAAATATTTAATTTATCTTTCTAAAAATATATAATATTTGCACACGCGGCACGCACGTCTGGCGTATTGGTTCGTATCGACCCCGATATTTAATTGAACATTTTCACGAGCTTTATAATTTGTTGTCACGACGTTTAATTACGATCATTATTTAAAACAAACAACGCCGCAGAGTTATTTGGGCGGGGGGAAAGGAAGGAGGGAAACTATTTTTTTTTCTTTTTTTTTTTGGTCAATCCGGCGGTTAGTCAATTACGGAGACTTCTCCCGTGTTTCATCTCTGTGTTTCATTCCGATTAATATTACGCAATAGTGCAATTGCTGCCGCATGAGTCGGCAAGTAATTACCGATTATTTCGACAAATTAGATAGTTCTCCGGGCGCGGCAAGCAGCGCTAGCCCCGTATTTTCCCCGCCCCGTACGTCGAAAACCCGGTCGGGGATGACTTTCGACCGTTACATCACTCGATTACGCATATTAAAGTGACGGATCGAACGGCGGTAAACAACGCAATGCGAAACAACCGGGTGCTGATGCACTCGCTTGCCTCTGCCGCAGCTGCTGCTGCTGCTCCCGCCGATACTACTACATTTGATCCGATATCGCATTTCATCCAATTACGGGAGCGCACTCTAATTTACACCTCTCTGTGTGTCCTCCTCCGGCAAAGCCAACAAAAACCGTTCTTGCGGGAGGTTCGCGAAATGAACTATCGATTTTGCATTAGTTATATGGCGCGGTCGCGCGAACGATGCGTTGCGTTTTGATGGGCGCGTGTGTTCTGGTAAACAGCGAGAATAGATAGATCGGAAGGGATAGGTGGCCACACACATTTACCGGATATAATTCCAAAGCTTGATCAATATCAATTCGTCCTTGATATATATTATTTATATAATACACGTAGGTACGTGATCTGATTAATTCTCGGAAATTAATTTTTACTTTCGAAATCGGTCACTACGATTTAACGTATCAATTAATTCAGTACAAATTATGCCGGAGTTTACAAATTGTAGATATATACTCGGGTCTCGCTTAAGTGTTAGCACAACGAGAGTGTGTGAACACACGCATCGCTCTCGCGTACCCTCGACCATTCATTACAGCTTCCTCGACGGGTTTTATTTCGCATCGGGTCGGATGCTTCACGCGAAATATCGCGCGGCGGGATTGGCAAGTTTCCTGTGCGAATTAAAGCACGGCGTGCCAAGTTCAACCGGACGTGCGTGAACAAACAGAGATAACTGTATCGATGCTCGAGCAAAAGCCAGGGGGAAGAGGGAAGAGGCACACAGCGCGGCAGAAATTACACGCGGGGAGGAGGAAGAGGAAAAGCAGCAGGAGGAGGAGGAGGAGGAGGAGGAAGAGGGTGGTGTACACGGAGAGGTGCTGTCGGTGAGATAATATTTATTATCCCGCGGCGTCGTTACCGTCAACGATTATACGGCCGTTAAAATCCGAAATTACGAGCCCGGGGCCTTCGGTATGGAGGAAAACAGGAACTGTATGCTCCCGGTAATGGAATGCGCCAAGTTAAATTGGTGGTGCAAAAGCAACGCGAAACGTTTTTCCATCCGGCGAGCACCGCGGGAGAGAGAAATAAAACTACTTTCACTCTCTCCCCTCCTCCCTCTTCTCTCCGTCCACGCTCGCATGCAAAACGATCGGCGAAATGGCGTGTTTACCGCCCCGATAAATCGATACGTTGATTGCTACGTTGATTAATACGCGGTGCACCCGCGGAATCCGCGGTTTTAACTTCAACGCTCGCTTCTTTCTCGACGGGAAGTTTGGTATCCACTTTTTCACTGCGCCTGTTTGTGCTATTATTATTTGGCGCCGCGCCGAATCCCCGTGTTCACACAGCGGCACGGATATTATACGGTGGATAATTTAAATCGCACGTAAATAAATCCGAGGATTTTTTTCGAGAAGTTTGTTGTTCCACGTCTAAAAGGCGCTTGCGCGGCGCTTACATTATAAATAAAAGCACGTACCTCGCTTTTGTGACCGTCTAGATATTTTCCTCCCTTCCCCGCGCCGCTTCCAAAAAGAGAACGGGGGAGTCCTGAAAGAGAAAAAGAAAAAAATCGCACACAATGTCGTTGTCTGTTCTCGCTTTCTTCTCCGCTGCGCTGGTACAACAATTAATTATCGAATTCGAAAGCTCTGCTCTTGGCGCGCGTTATTCTTCAATTAATGAGAACCAAACGAGTAGATTGAATACACGACATGTAAGATTTGCATATCGGGGGGTTTTTTTTTTTTCTCGTAACAAATGGGGGAAGAGCAACGGAACCTGTCGGGCGTAACGCCCCACTCCCGAATAAAAAGCAAATTATCCCAATACATTCAAGGAAATCCCCTAAGCGCCTCTCTCTCTCTCTCTCGACAAAAACGACGCACGTGCGCTTCTAATTACTTTTTCGCGAGCACCGTCATGGTTCCGTGTGCAGAATATCCTTCTTTTCTCCCTTTCGCTACGTTTTGTTTTCCCCTCCCACAGACAGAAACGCGACGTTCACGCGGACATTAGAATTCCCGCGCGATAAGATTGCGCGCGCTTATTCATCGGGACCGCGCGCGACTAAAATCGACGCGGAAGAACGCGTCAGTACAAAACGCAAGTTAGGGGATAGAGGTGCGTCTGCCTGCCACCGTCGTATAACACGTATCTAGGTGGTAAAGAAGAAAGGAAAAAGAGGGCAAAAAGAACGGGAGGGTGGAACTCGGGTGGGAAGAACATTTGTCAATGTTGCACCCCTTACCTTGGCCAGAACGAAAGAGAGAGAGAGAGAGAGGAAAGAAAAAACGAGAGAAGAAGAGCAAGAGAGAGAGAGAGAGAGAGAGAGAGAGACGGAGAGAGGGAGAGAAAACATACGACGGTTATATACACGCGAACGGTGTGTACGCGCGCACTCCACGTACGGTACAGGGCTTTTCAACGAGGTCCCTTGAAATATGGGATCCGCTGGACAAAGCGGGACCCTCTCTCCACCTCTCTTTCTCTCCGTCGGTCCCGCGGGACCTCCTGATAACCCTCGAAAGTGAATGTAGTCTGGCGCTCAGGCATAGGACCGGGAAGAGAGAAAGAGCAAAACATCGCGTGTGTGTTTCAGCGCAACGCTGCGCGGCGCAGCAGCCTCCGGGGACCAGTCAGCGGCGGCCGGCGTCGACCGGATGTGATATATACCGCGCGTCTGGTTCTCTCACTATTTTTCCGCGGCAATCGGTTACCTCCATGGGAAATTAACCGCCGTTTCCTCTCTTTTCTTTCACCGATTCCAAGTAGCCGCCGCGCCGAGGCGCAAGGGGATGGAATCTCTATATCGCCACCGATATGCGACCGGACGGTGGGCGTCACAATGGCCGCGGCCTTTGTTTCCGGCCATTGTCAATACCTGGCGGTTAAGCCCGCAGCCTAACAGGCCGCGCAAATCGGATCCAAGCGTGTGTGCCAACAATGAACGCTATTTGGCCACTAATTTAGCGCGCCGTTTCCCGTCGTCGTTACGCGCCATCGCGAAAACCGGAGTTATGTCCAAGTTTCAGACCACTTTTGGATGACAATGCGCGCGATTGTATACGATGTTTTGTACAAACGCGTTTTTTTTTTCGCGTTCTTTTCGACGAGAGCGCGCGCGGATTTCTCATCAAAACGGAAAAGAACTTAATTACCGAACAAATTCCCGCGGGTTCGACATCGGCGCCTCGATCGAACGAGTTTTGTCTGCGCACGGAGAAAAAAAAAAGAGTTTTCCCATCGCGAAACTTTGAAGAGAATCGCTGATTTACAGAAACTTCCGCGCTGCGCGCGAAACGATAACATCGGGACGTTTTTCCAATTGCGTTTGCCTTTTGACGCACCCCCACGATTCGGCCGACAGAATTTTACAACTGTATAAATACGTCGGCGTCGTCAAGCGCGAGAACGTTTCGCGAGCTTCTCTTTCCGCTTCTTTTCGTTTTTCTTTCTCTTTTTTTCCGCCGTTCGTTTGCTCCCGGAGCGAAGGAACGACGAAGGCCGGGGGGGGGGGGGGGCGAAAAAGGAGGCATTTTCTCTGTTGCAAGATTTACGACGTCCAAGTATCGACGAGAGGGCGAGCGAGCGAGCGAGCGCGCCACGAGCGCAAGCTTCGAGGAGTTTTCCAGTCTGAATTGCCGGAAAATCGACGGTGACGCCGACGAAGAGAGTGTCCCTGTATCTATTTTCCGTCCGTTCGTTCGTTCGTTCGTTCGTTCGTTCGTTCGTTCCTTCCTCCGTTCACAAGCGCGCGGCGAAGTTAATTTTTAAAGTTCCAGACGAACGAAACGAGCCGGAGGGCTCACAAGCTCGTGCTCGATTTCACGGGAGGAGCGGGATTATTGATTGTTCGCGATCGCTCGCCCGATTCGAAACTCCGGAAGGCAAAGACCCGTGGCGATTTCGAATCAAGACGGTACGTGCTTGTAAAGATGATGGGGAATAAATAAATTCTCACAATGCGCACGTAAATTGCAGCGCATATTATTAAAATATTAGTGACAAAAAAAAAAAAAAAAAAAACAGCGTACATATAAAACTTTTATCAGAGATATTGCTGTTTGAAAACCGGAAAGAGAGAGAGAGAGAGAGAGCTCTGATATTCATTGACGAACGAATAAATATTCTTTTAAAACGACCACTTTTACATACTGAAGAGTTGTTTCCACGTTTACATAAAAAAGAGTTGTTGTAATTAACGTAATGCAATGAATGCACGTTTCTGATTAACATAATGAATCATTAATAGAGATCTCGTTAACATCAAGCGCGGAGAATTATTTCCAAGATAAATTTGCACATGTCAGGGAAGGAGTGAGAAGAGAGGAAAAGAGCAAACTCATGCTCGTCATATTCAGAGTGAAAGGCATATCAAAAGTTCGACGAACACGTGCGCAATTTTTTTTTTAAGGTTACAGGGGATCTGAATAACCCGATATATATCATGCGCATATCCGTGCTCCGTGCGCGCGTATTCATACGCGGTTATGAGGGAGGGGAAGAAAATCCGCGGCTATTCGCTACGATTAAGCTCACATTTCCGCTTCTCTTTCCCGTCGGGAGCTTGTAAACCGAGGTTAATTTTAAAAAGCTCCCGTCGACCAAATCACTCGAGCCCTTCTTCGTTTCGCAACCCCCGGGTCTTCCTAAAAGCTCGATTTCACGTTAGAATTATCGATTGCACGCGATCGAGTTTCGTCCACAGAGAGAGAGAGAGAGAGAGAGAGAGAGAAAGCAAGGAACTCCGGGCTTATATACGATTACAAGAAGGCAGAAGGAGCGGAGAATGACAAAGATGATAGAGAAGAGGACGAGAGAGAAAGAGAGAGAGAGAGAAGGAGACAGAAACGACGACGAAGAGATTGAACGCGAACGAGAGCTCGAGCACGTTTACAAGACGCGACGAACTTTATTTACTTGAAACTTGAGCTCTCGATCTTGCTACAGTCTACTTACTTGGCAATGCCAAGTAAGAACAATCGTTTTATATTACAATAAATATTAATTACGACAGGATTTTTCGCGCGCGCGCGCGGAAAGAGGCTTCATCGCGTATTATTTAATAAATTCATCTACATCCGTTCCATCTAAGTAAGCCGCGATCGATTTTTATCATCGTTCCCAAGTTGTTCTTCAAGAAAGAGAAAGAGAGAAAAAACGCCACGTGCTCCGGAAGGATAATGCCGAGGACTTCGCTATCAGGATCAAGCGCGACGATGGATTTACGGTGCTCGAGTGGTCCTTTACGGTCGAGCTAGCAGGGTCTGTCTAGGATGCTGCTGAGCCCAGGCGCCGTGGATTGTTCAGCTAGTGTCACGAGAAGCGATTTAAGCTCGATCCTAGCCGTGGATTACCGCGAGATCCTTCGACCCGGACTGAAGCGAGTTAGGATTACAGACCCTCGTTTGATGCTAAACTCGATCCACACGCTCGACTCCTATCAACGGACAGTGCCGATTACCTCCGCGCCATTTTGCGTTCTTCGCGCGTCATTTAAGTACGTCTGCGTACGACCGCTGATTTATTTTGCGCGCGCGACGATGCGAATAAAACATTTCGCAGATGTATTATTAAATTTGTTTAATTTTAACAAAAACAATTTTTGTTGCAATCAAATTGAAATTTCTTTCGAAGTTATACTTTTTGCTTGCAAAAGATCGACGTAAGATGGTTATCGGTTTAACGTCAAAAATTTCTTCAATTTTTCGCGACGAGCCGTCTGTAAGTGAAAAAACGTCTGCGGCGGAAAAAATGATTCTGGCGAATTGAGTTACTTTATATATATAAATGGAATGTCTGCTTTTTCTTCTAACTCACCTTCAGTTCGCGTGCGCGAGAGAAAGAGAGTTTTCGCGCGGCAATATTTTATCTATCCACTTCACCTTTTTCGAAACCGTGTAATATCATGCGTCAAGAATAAATCGCGAGTATTACGGTACACCGCGATGAAAAAGAAAAAAAAAAAAAAAGAAGCCGATGAGGAGAAATTCAGCAATCAAGCCTGAAAATCTCCCGGGCAAATATTTTCATTTGTTCGTGAGTGGTGGCCGGAAATTGGGGCGGTTGAATAATGACTGCGTGGATCAGGCAAACGCGAGGAAAAATAAATATCCGCAAAAGAATGGATAGGCGGAGAGAGAGAGAGAGATAGATAGATAGAGATAGAGAGAGGGAGAGAAAGAAAAAAGAAAGATTCGAGAAGTAAAAGAGCGAAAAAAAAAAAGATCAGACTTCCATTTGTATGTACAAATGAGGTAGACGTATGAAATAGGAAAAATGAAAAAGGCAAACTCGTCCAGCCATAAATCGCGTATATTGTGTGGGATTGCCGTTCAGAGGCAAGAAATAAAATTCAGAGCTCTCTCCGAATACTTTATGGATTTTAATACATCACGTAATTACCGTTTGTTGAAATTTCCACCGCTCTCATTCTGTTCGTCTTTGCGCGAGAAAAACCTACCTGTGATTCCCTACCCTATGATCGTGAAACGATTTATTTTGCCGTCGTGGCAATTAATTAAGTTGCCGCACGTCTCTCTCTCTCG